TATTATTTATTTAAGTAATAATAATATGCTTATAATTTATAATAATAAGAATTAAGAAAAAAGGCTTATTTAATTTATTTTATACTTATTAATATTATTTTTATATAAATTAAGCTTATAAAGAAAGCTTATGCTTTTAAATAAGACTTTGCTTAAAAGCTAATCTTTTCTCTTAAGGTTAATAAGATCTTTTTTATAAGGTATAGCTAGCTTTATAACTTAAATCTAAGTTAGCATAGCCATAAAAAGGAGTTTGCAGTTTATTATAAAGTATCTTTATTAATTATAATATAGACACGCCCCGCGCCCTTGCCGGGCCTCCCTTTTAAATCTAGAAATCCAAAGCACCCTAGCTTAACTATTAGCTAGCTAAGAGAAAGAAATGCCTTAATACCCTTACAGCCCCTTATTCTTAGCACCTTAGCCCCTTATTATATCCATCATAACTATATTCATCATTACTATATTCCAATTCATTACTTATTACCCTTAGGTTAAAGGCTTTAAGGGGCGCAAAGTTAAGCCCGCATATTATTAGCGCTTAAGGTTCCATGCTTTTAGCTTATAAGCAATTTAATAATATATATTTACCGCCTTATTATAATCCATATATAAGATTAATGCCTTAATAACCTTATTGCAAAGCTATAAAGAAAGCTAATTATAAAAGTAGTTTAACTTTATTTCACCTAATTACTTAAGGCCCCCAGCTTATGCTATTAATTATTTAAACTAAATATAAAATTAAGCAAAGCCATTATAATCTTATATTTAAAATATCTTAAGCTTAGCTAAAATAACTATTTATTAATATAAATTTCCATAATAACACTTTAGGTATTTAAAGAACTTATTTATATTAAAGCTATTTTAAGGCCTGCCTTGCTTATAAAATGCTATAATGCATAATTATACCTTAATAAATAGCTAGCTTTATAAAAAGATTTAATACTTTTAAAGACTCTTAATAAAGTTTATATTAATTCATAGCTTATGCTATATTATAATCTTTTAAGTTAAAAAGCTATCTTAGCTATTATTAAATAAAGGGCTAACTAAGAACGGCTTGCATTAAATTAAGGGTAAATTAAAAGGGTTTGCGCATACTTTAAACTTTGCAAGTTAATAAAGTATTGCTATAAGGAGAAATATAGTAATATTGCTATTAGCATTAATAAGCATTATTATAAATAGCTAAAAGAGCTAAAGCGCTTCTTAAGTATTTTTATAGCTTAATATTAAAGTAAGTTAAGAAATTCTTAGCTATGCATTTTATAAAAAGGTTAATATCCTAAGTATAAGATTATTTATCTTTATAATATAAATATCCTCCTTAATATAATTTAAAGATTGCAATTTAATATTATAAGTTGGCCTTAAGCATTTATTAAAAGGTACTTAAAAGAAGTTATAAATTATAATATTTAAGAAGTAAGTTAGGCCTTAAAAGGGCCTAACCTTAAATTTATCTTTTAAGTATATGCCTTATTATATAAAAGGGTTGGGTGCAGTATGGGCTCGGTATGGGCATGCATTACGGCTTGGGCAATAGCCCAAGCCCATCATATTAATATTATAATAATATAAGCTTAATTATTAATAATAAGTTAATTTATTAATTTTATATTATTTAAAGAGTTTTATATAATTTATTAAAACATTTCTTTTTTATATAAGCATTATTACTTATACTTTATATATTTCTTTAATATTTTTTTAATAAGGGTATAATTAAATATAATAAAGCTATTATTAAGCATTAAATAATTTATAATTTAAATATATTTAAATATATATATAATATTAAAAGGAAAAAAAAGCTATAAGAAAAAGGAATTATAAGTTATAATAATAATAAGAAAGTATTATTAAAAGGCTATATATATATTATAGCTAAGCTATAATGTTATTATAAACCTTAAATAGTTAAAATTAATTTATTTATATTTTATTATATAATATTTAAGATAAGTTATATAATAATAAGTTAATTTTTTTAAAAATGCATTTTAAAGAATTTTTTAATATAATTAAAATTATATTAAAGCTTATTATAATATATTAATAAATAAAATAATATTAAAAAGTATATAAGAATATTAATTAGCTTAATATAATATAAAGTTATTATATTTATATATATTATTTATATATATTTTAAGGATTATATTTTTTATAAAATTAATGCTTATATTAAGTAATAATATATAATTTAAAGGGATAAGGCCTTTATAATAATACTTATTATAGCTAATAATAATAAGTAATTTAAGGAAATAAGGCCCTTATAATAATACTTATTATAATTAATAATAGTAAATAATTTAAGAAAATAAAGCCCTTATAATAATATTTATTATAATTAATAATAATAAGTAATTTACGAAATAAAATACTTATAATAATATTTATTATAATTAATAATAATAAATAGCTTAAAAAATATAATTATTATTATAATATTTTATTATAATAATAATAATTTTTATAATAAATATTTATAAAAAAGTTTAAAATAACTTTATATATATATTATATTTAAGAAATATAAAAATTTAAAGTAAATTAAATAAAAGTTTAAAATAACTTTATATATATATTATATTTAAGTAATATAAAAGTTTAAAGTAACTTTATATATATTATATTTAAGTAATATAAAAATTTAAAGTAAATTAAAAAAAAGTTTAAAGTAACTTTTTTATAAAAAGTATTTATATAAATACTTTACTTAATAAAAAGAATAAGAATATATTTCCTTTTTAATGCTAAGAAAAAGAAATATTATTATTTTTACTTTTTAAATTTAATAATATATATTAAGCCTTTTATATAAATAAATTATAAGATTTAAAATAAAATAAATATAAAAATATAAAGATTTTTTAAATTTTTTAAAATTCTTTTTATTTTTTAAAAAAGGAAGCTTTATTAATTATATATTATAAATTTTAAATTTCTTTTTTCTTTAAATCTCATTTCTTTACTTAACTCTTAATATTAAATCATTATAAATAAAACTTAAAAAAAATATAAATTTTATTATATATACTTTATTATATATTTTAAAATATATATTATATTTTAAGTTAAAATTAAATTATTTATAAAAATAATTATATTTAAAATTTAATAATAAATAACTTAAATTTATTAATATTTCTTAATAACTTTTTAAGTATTTATTCTTTATATTTTTTATAAAAAGCTATAAAAATCCGTTAATTAATAATATTTATTACTTAATAATAAACTATATTATATATAATATTAAAAATTAAAATTAAAGTTATTTAAAAGATATATTAAAAGTATTATTAAAAGTTTTAATTATTAAATATTAAGATTTTAAAAAAGTTTAATTTTATAAGTTATTTTAAATATATTAAAATATTTATATATAAATAATATCTTTTAATTAAAGAATTAAGTTTTTTAATTAATTTAAATAATTTATATATTTTAAATTAAATTAAGAAAAAGCTTAAATTTATTTAAAATTAATAATAATTATATTAAAAGTAATTAAAAAAGCGTATATATTTATATATTTTAAGCTAAAAATTATATTTAAAGTTATAATTATATATTTATATTAAATTTTAATTATTATATTATATTAAAAGAAATATATTTTTAAAAGTTTTAAAATATATATTTTATAAATTTTAATATATTTTTAACTTAAAAAAACTTTTTATAAAGCTTTTAAATTAAATAAATATATTTATAATTTAAACTTTATTTTAATAAATTTATATTATAATAAATGCTTTTAAGAAATTATAATTTTTAAATATATAAAAATTAAGCCTTATTATTTAAACTTAAAAGTTTTACTTTATTATAACTTTTTTAAACTTTTAATATAACTTTTAATTATTAAATTTTAATTAATAAATTATATTAAAAAAAATATATTTTTAAAAGCTTTAAAATATATAATTAATATATTTTAATAATTAATAAATTATATATTAAATATTTTAATATATAATATATATTAATTATTAAAATATTTTATATATTTAATATAAAGAAATAAAAGAAATAAAAGAAATAAAAAAAATAAAAGAAATAAAAGAAATAAAAGAAATAAAAAGTTAATATTAATTAATATTAACGTTTTATTAATTTATTTATTTTAATATAATATTAAAATAAATTAAAATATTAATTAAAAATAAATGTAATTTTCTTATTATTTTTAATTATTATATTAAATAATTTTTTTATTTAATTATTTAATATTAAATTGTGATGGGCTTGGGCTATTGCCCAAGCCTTATATAGTGTGGCTAGATAATCCAAGGGAGCTTGGATTATTACGTACCTTTTGGCGCAAATGGTTGCTGCTTTGCAGCTTATGGAAGAAGGCGCTAGCCAGCCTGCAGCCCCTTTGGGGCCAGCCCATAACATAAATATTAAATAAATTATATTTTATATATAATAATTATATTATAATTATATATAAGCTTTATATTTAATAATAATATTTCTTAAAAATAAAATTAAAGAAGTTTATAATTTCTTTAATAAAACTTATATAATTAAAGAAATTATAAAAGCTTAATTTTATTAATATAAAATTATATAATTAATAAATAAACTTTAAAATTAAGAAAGTTATAATATATTTAATCTTTTATAATAAAATAAAATATATTATAAAATATATTATAAAATATATTATAAAATATATTATAAAATATATTATAAAATATATTATAAAATATATAAAAAGAAAGATTTTAAAATTTTTAAAATTCTTAAATTCTTTAACTTTAAACCCCTTTTTAAAAATATTATATTTAAAATAAAGTTTTAATTTAATTTTTCATTAAAAATATAAGTTAAATGATATATAAAATATTAAGATTAAGCTTTTAAGTTTTATTTAAGTTTAATAAAAAGGGGTTGTAAAGTGGGTGTTTATGTGGAAAAGGCGGCCGGGAAGGGGGGGCGGCCGGAATCGGGGCCGGGGACGTTATGTTTCTTGCTTAAGCAAATGATTTGATCTTCCTTAAGCTTTCCAACGCTGAAACAGGGTCGTTATTAATACCGTCGGGCTCCTCCTCATCCAGCAAATCCAATCCATAACTCGCGTCCCTAAGCAAACAATATGTCGTGCTGGTGCCATCATCATCGCCGTACACGACCAACGAAATGTGGCCTGGGACATGGCCAGGGGTGTGCACCGCAACGATAGTCCCATCGGCCGTGATTTTTCCCGAGTGCTCCCAGGGGCCAATGGAGCTGCCCGAAAAGTCGATCAGAGTGGGCTGGAATCCTTCCGGCCAGTGTTGTGGGACACAGCCGGATAATGTCGCGTGGATGGGGCTGTTGCCAAAAGCAGCCCAATGCTCGGCGCTCACGTAGACGGGGACGTCTGGCGCGAGGTGACTCAGGACGATTGCCTGGAGATGGCGGGGCTCTACGCCGTGCGCTTTCAGCTGGTTGACAATTCCGTCCTCCGGCCTAATGTCAACGCTGCTGAACATCTTGGTTGGACTGGAATATGGCAGGTAGCCGGGGTCGTTGAAACAAGGCGATTCTCCCGTGTTGAATAGAATCCGATCGTCAGGGTGAGATATGAGGAAAACGCCGATGGGCAGGGGGTCAGTCCATTGTCGATTGGCGATGCAGCGGAGTCGGCGGAGTGTGACAAATTGGTCCTAATAGGTCTTCACGGGCTGATTTTTCATGGGCAGTTTGATCTGGACTGATCCAGTAGAAACGAAGGTCAGGCCAACGCGTGTTTGAGTATCTGCATCCATCATGAAGGCTGTACACAAACAAAAGACCCAGCAGAAGACCAGAAGGTAACAGAGAAAGCTCCCCATTGACTGGAAGTCAAAGGATGTGAGTCGTTAGCCGGTGATGCTAACTACTAATTGTCCTAACCTTCCATGTGCCGAGATCCATGTGTAGCGAATGCCGAGCGGTCGGACAGCCGGCTCATAATTATGGTAAACTTTTCCCAACTCCATAACTGCCCTATGAGGCTATGTGTGATACTAACTGGCTTTTCTCCGCAATCTTGGCTGCAAACTCCTTGATTGGCACGGCCGACACAATTTCCAGCAAGGCTATATTCGCCTTGAGCTCCCGCGAGATCCAGTTACGCACCTCGATGGCTGTCAGTGAATCGACACCGTAACGGTACAGCGGCTGTGCCGGGTCCACCTCGGACGGGGGCATCTGCAGGATCTCGGCCGTCCGCTTGACCAGCGCCTCGGTCACGACCTGGGCGGCCTGCTCCATGCTGGGAACGCCCGCAAGCTGCGAAGCAAGCGACACCGTGGCGGTTGTCCCGGCCTGGTGTTGCCCGTCACCACCTGCGCCCGTGGCCACCGCCAAGGCGCTAAAGCGCTCGTCCGCAAAGTAGTACGGCAGAGGGAGATGATTGGCGGCCCAGACGTCCGCCGAGCCCAGGCCCGTGACCACCTGTGCAGGGACGTCTTCGCCCTCCTGCTGGCTGTGGATAATGCTCTTGACAAGAGCGTGAAAGACAGGCTCTGGAATACCGACTGCGTCCTCCCACTGGCCGAGCACGCCACTCTCCGCCCTCTTCTCCGCCAGCACACCGACATCACGCATGATACCCAAGTCGATAGCCACAGCCCTCAGCCCGTGCGCACGCCGGTACGCCGCCAGTGCATCTTGGTACGCATTGCCGGCTGCGTACGCGGCCTGCGACGGGTTGCCGATGACGCCTGAGACAGATGAGCACAAGATGAAGAAGTCGAGCTCCCCGTCCCACGAGCTATCAAAGTACTCATGCAAGTTACGCGATCCCTGTACCTTGGCCGCAACGGGTCTGTCCACTGCTCGTATGTCATCTTCTCGAACACCACATCGCGCAGCACCATGGCCAGCTGCACCACGCCCCGCACGGGCGGGAGCTCCTGCTCGCACTGCGACAGAGCGGAGCGGAGCGAGGCGGCGTTGGTGATGTCGGCCCGGTACGGCCGGACAGTGACGCCACGCGCCGCAAGCTCCGCCATCAGCGCCTGGGCCTCGTCCGTCCTGTCACCCGAGCGCGAGAGGAAGGCGATGTTGCGGGCTCCGGCGGCGGCGAAGCTTCGCGCGAGACTGCGCCCCAGGCCGCCCATGCCGCCGACCAGGAGGTACGTGGCAGCGGGCTCGAGGCGGAATAGGTCACCCGCCCGCTGGAAAACGGGTGCTCGCGCGTTGTTGTTGTTGTTGTCGTCGTCGTCGTCGTCGTCGTCGTCAGCGCCGGCGAAGGACAGGACGGCCTTGCCGGTGTGCTTGCCCTGCTGCATGATGCGGAACACGTCCTCGACCTGGCCGGCCTGGTACGCTTTCAGGGGGAAGGCGGGCGATAGGTGGCCCTGTTCGACAAGCTGGTAGACCTCGGCGAGGACCGATCCGAGGTCCTCGAGCGGGTAGTTCAGGATGTCGCAGAAGGCAAACGTGGCGTTCTTGACAAAGGGCCTCATGTCTAGCTGCGAGTTGGCCGTGATATCGCGGAGGCCGATCTCGACAAAGGTCCCGAACGGCGCCAGGCAGCTCGAGTCCCACGAGGCCCGGAGCAGCTCGTCGGCAAGCGAGTTCAAGATGCAGTCGACACCGCGGCCATCAGTGATGCGCTCAATGCCCCTGACGAAGCTGAGGTCGCGCGAGTAGAAGATGTGCTCCGGCGGGATCTGGAACCGTTCCGTCATGAGCCTTCGTTTGCTCTCGGACCCGACCGTCACGTAGATGACCAGGCCTAGATACGTGGCAAGCTGGATGGCTGCTTGTCCCACCCCACCGGCAGCTGCGTGGATCAAGACGGACTGGCCTCTTCGTAGCCTGGCCAGCCGAACAAGCGCATAGTAGGCCGTGACGTGGACCAGGTTGATGGCGGCGCCCTCCTCAAATGTGATCGAGTCGGGCAGTCTGTGCACGACCTCCTGGGGGGTTCGAACGACGGTGGCATGGCTTCCGTACGCGTGTGCGGCAACTCGGTCACCGGGCTGGAAACGAGTTACTGCCTGGCCCGTCCGGACAACGACGCCGCTGGCTTCGAGGCCTAGCATCGGCACCGGGACCAGGCCCATGGCTCCCATGATGTCTTTGAAGTTAATGCTCGAAGCGTGCACCTGGATCTCCACATGCGTGTCGCCGAGTGGTTGGAGCGCCCGTTCGTCCCTGACAAAGTGCAGCGTGTCCAGCAGCCCGGGCCTGCCAATAGCCAGTCGAAGGGGGCCCCTTGCCTTCTCCTGCGCCAGGGACACGACACGCGTGGCGTCTTTGAGGTGGCGAGCGATGCGCCTCTCGCCCGCGTGGCTCTTGTACACCCGGGCCGTCTGGAGCATGCCCTGCACCACGCGAAACTCGTTGTCCGGACAGGTACTACGATCGCTCATGAGGACCCGACCCGCGAGCAACGGTACATTGGCTAGCCCGTCGGCATCGGGGCTGTCGACATGGAGGGTCTGGAATCGCAGACTGGCCGTCTCGCTGGACATGGTTCGTGCGAAGCCGTCGACGACGTGAAAGGACGGGTCGTCGCCGCCTGTGACCCACAGGATCCGCTCGCTCTGCAACACCAGTCTTCTAAGGGCGTTGAAATCACGCTCCGACATGTCGTGTAGTACGGGCTGCTCGAGCTCCAGCAAAGATATGATGGCAGAACCGGCCGAGGCCGACTCGGTGAGCTCATCGTGCCAACTTGCTACCGAGATGGTTTTCCCATGCCCAACCAATTCATCCTTTAGCATTCTGGAGAAATCTTGGACAATAAGTGAAGGTGTGGATGCTTCAACAATGATGAAGTTGTCGGCGGATTGTGTCTCGTTGCTTTGTTCTCGTTGCGCCTTTTCAAATCGAAACACGGCCACAACAGCCCCATCGTCTTCTGCGCCGGGAACTACCGACTGGGCTCGCCAACCCCTGGACCCAAGCAGGGACGCTGCTGCTGCGTAGTTCTCACGGTTCTTGGGAGCGAGGACGAGTGCTGCACCCGGCTTGGCAAGGTGGACGAAAGTATCCAGGAGGTTCTTGTCCCCGTCCTTGTCCTTGTCTGCCAAGTCATGGAGGAGTTGTGGCGGAACGACCAGGAGGTCCGCAGACAAAGCGTCCTTGACGGCCTGTTGGAGTAGCAGTGGCTCACCGAGGATGTCCACGGCAGAAGCCCCATCCTCCTCGTCACCATCGGCAATACCTGAACCGTCTGTGTTGTCTACCAGAGCGTACCGGATATTGGAAGTTGGAACCGCCCCCTCTGGCAGCAAACCGTGCTTACCAAGGGCCCTGTCCACGGCCGAGCGGCGAAGACCCTTGCGATTCAAAACCAGCTCGACGACTGCCGCCGCAGGCTTCTCATGAAGTAGCATGCCGAGAAGCTGAGCCAGCGCGCCCTCAGGCTGAGGCGGTCCTCCTTCGACTGTGCGGACAACCTTGGCCAGATGTGCTTCTTCCAAAAGACTCAAAGCATAGTCCCACCGAGTCTCGTACGTGACCGACGCTCCGGGCCCGTCGAGAACACGACCGATGTCATTATCAAGATCCTGCCCATCCTGCCCAGCACCACCGCCCCCTGCAACATCGAGCTCGGAAATGCGGAAGTCGGTGACGGAGATGTGCATTCTGGAGAGCTCCTTATCAAAGAGGAACATGTCATTTGTCTGCTCGTGGAACCCGTGGCGTTTGTTGGTGCTGAACCCGGCCATGAGGTCATCGGGGTTGCCCGGGACGTCCATGGCGATCTCCATGGCGCCCAGATAAGTCGGGGCAAACGGCTTCAGGCCCAGGACGCCGTCACGAAAGGTGGCGCCGACCCAGCACTGGAAGATGGCGTCGAGCGTGGCCGCGTGAATCAGAAACGGCCTCTTGCCCGGCTGCTGTGACTGGCCCTGGCCGAACGTCTTGCCAATGTCGGTGATGCGGAGATCAAAGTACGTCTTGCCCGAGTCCACATGCAGATTCTCGACACCCTGGAAGACGTCGCCGTACTTGAAGCCGGTGTCCTTTGCGATTCGCGAGTAAAAGTCTGCTTTCAACATGGTCGTCCCCCCGGAGTTTGAGCTCCTGCACGATGTCCCGGTACTGTGTTATCCTCTGGTCGCGGATGTGCCCGTCCTCGCGGACCATGTGCTCACTCCTGCCGGGCGCATAGTCGATCGTGATGAGGCCGCGGCAGTTGTCTCGCAGCTGGCTGGTGCTGGTGTTGGCCGACGACACGGTAAAGTCCCACCACGGACCTGCCTGGCCTCCAGACCTGGACATGGTGACCACCACCTCGGTGGCCACGCCCTCGAGGATGGACAAGGCTGCCATGACCGACACGTCGCGCAGTCGCAGGGCATGGATGGCCTTGCCCGGCTCAGCCAGTTGCTGGGCTGCCTCGAGCACGGTGCTGATCATCCCGGCCGCGGGGAAAACGACCGTGTCGCCGACCGTGTGGCCGCGCAACCAGGGCTCGTCGTCGAGCCGGATAAAGCCACGCCATACGCGTTGCCTTTCCTGCATGGTGGGCGTCGGTGCCCCCAGTAGACTCTTCATCGGTGCGTCGCGGTGCCAACGTTCCTTCTGCACACGCGGATAGGCGTTGTACTTGTGCTCATGCATCCAGGGATACGGAGGCAGATCCGTCAGGAGTCCAGGTCCCGACTGCAGATTCAGATCGCCGTTGACCTTGGCCATGTCCAAGGAGAAGCCTTGGTGGAAGAGCTCTTGGACCAGCTGCAGGCTCGTCTCGATCGCGTCGGCACCACGTCGGAGAACAGATTGATACGCCACATTCTGCACGCCGTGGTGTGACAGGATCTGCTCGATGGGTCCGCCCAAGGTGCTATGCGGCCCTATCTCGACGAGCAGGTCAATCTCTGGCTCGGTTGTGTCCGCTGGCTGTACCAGTTCCTTCAAGGCATCCGAGAACAGCACTGGCGACACGAAGTTCTGCAACCAGTAGAAAGGGCCCATTTGTTCACACGAAACCTCCTCCCCCAGCACGCTCGACATCATGCGCGTTCCGTCCTCAGCCACGGGCTTGACAGGCTCGATGCTCTCCATGGATTGGTAGTATTCACCGGAAACAGTCGCCACATGGGACGAGTGATAGGCAACTTGCACCTTGAGCCTCCGGCACCAGGTTTCCCGTTGCTGGAGCGCAGAAGCCATGGCATCGATGGCCGTCGAGTCCCCGGAGAGGGTGATGCTGGCGGGGGCGTTCACGCAGGCGACCGTCAGCTTGTCGACCAGTCCGAGATCCGCTATGAGGCCCTCGGCCGTCTCGCGCGAACATGACGCAGCCATCATAGCACCGTCCAAGTGCGGAGCGACGGCCGGCAGCATGGCCGAAGCCGTGCCTCGGGAGTAGGCCACCACGATGGCATCCTGGTGCGTCAAGGCCCCCATGCAATAAGCAGCGGCAATTTCTCCGCTCGAGTGGCCGACGACCTTGGCCGGCGTGCTAAGGCGGGAGCTGCCCCATGAGCGAATCTCATCCACGAGGGCGATCTGCAGCACCGTGCAGATCGGTTGGCTGATCTCGGGCGCGGAAAGTCGCGACTCATCGCCCGTCTTGGAAAGCTCGTCGACAGGATCCCATGGGCATCCGAGGCTGCCGAGGATGGCGGCCGACTTGGCTACAGAGTCCCGGAACACCGGTCGTTCAAGAAGCTGGATGCCCATCCCGGCCCACTGGGCGCCCTGACCCGTAAAGACAAAGGCGACTCGTGGTTCTCGGCTCGCACGCGAAACCTTCACCGCCGCGCTGGCCTCTTCGGGTCGGGCGGCGAGCTCCAGCTGTTGCTGCAGCTGGGATAGGCTGCTCGCCACGCAGCTTCCCTTCCAGCCCAGGCTGGATCGTGCGGTGTCAAGGGTGTGCGCGAGCCTACCGAGGTACTCCGGCTCGCCCTGGTCCGCCGTCCACGTCGGGTTTTCGAGCCGGACGTTTTGGATGTGCCTTACGAGCGAGTCACAAACTCGTTTGATACCAGCCTGGTCGTTACTGCTGAAGACGAATAGCCTTTTCCTGTTGACCTTTATGGTAGAGGTATTCTGTACAGGTGTGGGGGCAGACGAAGGTGGTTGTCGGTATTCCTCGAGGACGAGATGCGCATTCGTCCCTCCCATGCCGAAGCTGCTCACGCTCATGCGTTTGGTCTCACTCTCGGCCGCGGGCCAGGGAGTTAGCGATGTCGGGACGACCATGTTCCATTTGTCAAAGGGAATAGCATGGTTGGCCTTGTGGAAGTGCACGTTGGGCGGAAGCATGCCGTGCTCCAGCGACAGAACGCCCTTGATGATGCCCGCTACACCCGCGGCAGGCTCGAGATGGCCTATGTTCGCCTTGACGCTGCCCACATACAGTTTACGAGACTCGTTCGTGCCTCGACCAATGGTGTTATGAATCGCCTCCAGCTCGATAGGATCTCCGACTTTGGTACCCGTCCCGTGCGCTTCCACGTACTGTGTCGCGTCATAATCCAGCCCGTTGGACTCGTAGACAACACGGATCAGCTCGGCCTGGGCGGAGCCGGACGGTGTCGAAATTGTTTTGGTCCACCCGTCCGAGTTGACACCGCTACCGCGGATGACGGCACGGATATGGTTCCCATCGCGAATAGCCTGGTCCAGCGGCTTGAGCACGATAATACCGCAGCCCTCGGCCCTTCCATACCCATTCGCCTGCTCGTCAAACGAGAGCGATCGCCCATCCGGATTGAGCACCCCTAAGCTACTAAGTTCCATGGTTGCCTCGGGTGAGAGTGTCATATTGATCCCGCCTGCGACAGCCATCTCCGCCTGGCCGGACCGCAGGCTCTCGCACGCCTGGTGAATAGCCACGAGGCTCGACGAGCACGCCGTCTCGACCGTCATGCTCGGGCCGCGCAGGTCGAAGAAGTGCGACAGGCGGTTGCTGACCATCTCGTCGCTGACGCCCATCAGGTAGAGCCGGGGCCAGTGCTCAAAGTCGCGCACGATGGCGTCGCGGTAGTCGCTCCAGGCCGTACCGATGATGCACGCCGTCCGCGTGCCCGCCACCCGGGGCGGTGGAAGCCCGGCGTTCTCGAGGGCCTCGTACGTCACCTCGAGCAAGATGCGCTGCTTGGGGTCGAGCACGGATGCTTCTGCGGCTGACAGCTTGAAGAAGGACGAGTCGAACGCATAGGGATCCTCCTTGATGAAGTGCCCGCCCTTGGTTGGCAACACATTTTGTCGATCCTTGCTGTTGGCGTGGTAAAAGGCTGAGGTGTTGTAACGATCCGTATCGGGAGAGTACGCATCTGGACATGTTAGTAAGTACTTGGTTACAAAGTGGTGTATCAGTCCGTCAAGATGCTTTTTGCTTCTGTCTCCCATGCGTATCGCAGGTTTGACATTCCGTTTCTGTCCGTACTTCATATTGGCACTCACCTTTCCCATCTTTCATAAGGTTCCAGAATTCAGTCGGGCAGGTCGCATCACCAGGAAAACGGCAGCCCAACCCAACCACAGCAACAGGGAAATTGTCCCGGCGAGCATGAGAAGACCCCATGATAAGCCTGTTTAATACTGAACTTAAACAGCAGCTAGAAACGATCGACGCTGTCCTGGTTTGGCCGAGAAAGCAGATGGTTATCCAGGTGGTTTCCTGCTTTCCAAACCAAGTCCAGTCGACAACCGAGGGTATCATAGGTTTATCACGCCAATGCTCCCAACGATCGACAGCACTGCACAGAATCCAGCTATTCGTACTGAAGTACCGCATGAGATCCATGTCATATACATTCCCACGCCCATGGTCGCGATAGAGCCCATGGCCTGGGAACCGTGACTCAGCAGTCCACACCGCGACTCAGGGTGTTGAGGGAGTAATTACCGATTGCAAGTCAGTGTGTTATTGTAGTCAACCAGGGACGCTATAATTAAGCTAGAATTCTTTTTTGAACACAGGGCCCTTTCTATCTTTAAACGCACCCACAGCTTGTCATGTCGAGGTAGAAGGGTGAGTCGGGGGTGGTCAGCAGTGCGGTGATCATACTGTGTGCGGCGCCTTTAAACCCACCATAATTTCCCACCAACCTAACCTCTTCTAGTGACATTATACCCTTTTTTTTTTAAACAGTAATGATTATATAGTTTTTTTTAAAAAAAAAATTTATTATTTTTAAAATAATTTACTTTAATATAAATAAAATTTACCTTTAAAAGTTATAAATAATAACAAAAGTTTTAATTATCAAGCTTTATATAACTTTTTAAGGAAAGACATAACTTTCCCCAAGCTTTTAATAGCATTTAATATTACTAGTTTTTTTACTACTATCTTCATCCTTTTAACCTTAACCCTTAGTTGCTTGTTAAGCTGGTAACCCTCCTAGCTTCTCGCGGCCTTTACTCTAGGTGGATTTTCATGTAAGGCGCCTCGTGAATCGTGTCACTGCTACGCAGGGGCGGAGATCCCAAAGATCTACACCAGATTCCGGTAAAGAGTCAAGCTCTTGCACCCCTATAACCTGGCCCCTGATTATTTTGCTCCAGAAGTCTGGAGACGTTTGCCTAAACAAGATGGAGGTGGTATCCTCACTTCATTGTTTCACCATGAGTCGTGAACTTGGTTCCACGCCCGTCCTGTGAACATACGACAGTAGTACTCTATCTCATAGAACAACCGAGTGGGTATGCAGAGGGCACAGAGATCATAACAAGTAATAATAACGACTGAGTGTTAGTCACATCTAGACACAACTCAAACAACAGGTCGCCTTGCTAAGATCCATGATATCACAGTGAGCGTAGCAATTACAGGAGGCTCAAATGACTGTGGCAACGATGGTTGAGACTCCCACAATCCTCCTATTTGGGGGCTACACGGAGCCGTGGCTAGAGTCCATTGATCGCATTCACGAGCAGGCCGGCTTGTATGCTTGGCTGCGACGCTTCATGGACGACGTCGCGTCGGTAGTCAGGGCGGAGACAAAATGCATGCACCCCAGCATACGGAACAGCTTGGGACCCAACGGCATCTTCATGAGCGTCCAAGAGGTCGCCGACCAGTACCGGCATCACGATGACCATGTCGGCTTTGTGCAGTGTATCATGTCCTACATCGTCCAGGCTGTCATCCTTTTGAGGTAAGATAAACACTATCCAAGACGAACCGACGGTTCAGTTTTTGATGTCACACGTCAATGAATCTTGGGTAACCTCCAGGCCGCTGACCTTTTCCTTGCTGTGTGGTTTCCAACTTTTAGATGGATCCACGACTCGCCAGATGCCTTGAAAGTCAGCCCCAGGCCCGAAGGAATGGGAATCTCGGGGGGACTTATCAATGCCGCGGTGTTGGCCATATCCGATGACTTTGAGTCGCTCTACGAGGCCAGCGTCGTAACAGCCGGGCTCGTATGCCGACTGTGCGAGGTCGCCGGGGTGGTCTCGAGAGCGGTGGAGCTTGAAGAAGAAGGAGGAGGCAGTGACGGAAGCAGAAGCTCATGGGGGTGTGCAGTCATAGGAAGCTCTCCGGATCAACTGGATGGGGTCCTGCACCAGATCCAGGAGACTAAGAACGTTCCCGGTCTGAAAAGAGCCAGGGTGGGCATCAGAGGTGATAGCTGGGGCACCGTTGTTGGGCCGCCGTCCGTCCTCGACATGTGCCTGCAACATGGCGCCATGGCGGATCTCGTCAAGCAGAGGCTCCCCATCTACTCGATGCAGCACAACTACCATCTCTCACAGTCGCATCGCAGGTTTATTGCCGGAAGTTCAAGCCTTCATCTCCGGCCCGTCCACCCGGGATTTCGGCTTTGGGGCCTACAGGAAAGTGACACAAGCAGAGACGATGCCGATGCTCTGGGCAATGCCCCTGTCGATTGGGGCCGGCTGCTTCTGGGAGTGGTAGATGCCGCCTTTTCGAACACGGTGGATTTGGTCGAGATGGTGAAGGGGCTCAACACTCGTCTCGGATCGGATCTGTCACAAGTCCAACTTAGAATCGTGGGTCCCACCTGGTTTGCTGGTTCTCTCGAGAGGAAGCTGAAAGTGACGGGAAGAAGGGTTGGGGTCGTCCAGCACACAGTGCTTGGGGCAGAGGGGTGGCAACAGGCTGGGCATGCTCCAACCAAAGACACTGGCACATCGTCTGGCGTGCCCAACCACGAGGGACGTATTGCCGTCGTGGGCATGGCCGGGCGGGCTCCAGAGTGCGAGGACCTGGAGCAATACTGGCAGGTCATCGAATCGGGTCGTGATCTTGCGCGAGAAATACCTCCGGGTCGATTCGACGCCGACAGCCTCTTCCTCGATGCGAGTGCCAAGCAGCAGCACCACCAACAGCACCACCAGCAAGAGCCAAGTCCGCCGCCCAAGTGCACATCGACATGCAAGCTGGGCTGTTTCCTCTCAAGACCGGGCCACTATGACGCGCGCTTCTTCCGCGTGTCGCCGCGCGAGGCGCTCCTGATGGACCCGGGCAGCCGGCTGTTCCAGATGGCGGCCCACGAAGCGCTCGAATCGTGCGGATACTCATGCGGGACGACGCGCGCGCTGGACCCGAGCCGCATCGGCGTTCTCTTCGGCCAGAGCAACGTCGACGGTTACGAGACCGCCCACCACGAGAAAGGCTGCGACGCCTTCACTCTACAGGCGCTCGCCCGTCCCTTCCCGCCTGCCCGAGTCGCCTTCCACTACGGCTGGGAGGGGCCCACGTACTCCATCGACCAGGCGTGCTCGACCTCGCTGTCTCTGATCCACCTGGCATGCGCTGGTCTGCGCGCGGGCGACTACGATATGGTCGTCGCCGGCGCCGCAAACGTGCTGGCCAGCCCACATGGCTGGTGTCTGCTGAGCAAGGCGGGCGTTTTGTCCGACACGGGGAACTGCAAAACCTTCTGCGACGATGCCCAAGGCTACTGCCGCGGAGAGTTTGTCGGTGTCGTGGTGCTCAAGCGACTCGAGGACGCCGTGGCCCAGAATGATCGGGTCCTAGCTGTCATTCCCGGCTCGGCAAGGAACCAGGCGGGCAACTCGACCTTTCTCACGGCGTCCGACGCGGGCACCGAGGAGCGGGTGCTGAGGCAGGCCCTGCGGCGGGCGCGGCTTCGTCCGGAAGACATTGCGTACGCCGAGATGCACGGGACCGCGACGCCGGTGGGAGACCCGTGCGAGATGACGGCCGTCGCCAACGTGCTGGGCCGCAGGCCAAAGGCAAACGCTGTCAGGGATGAGGTGGAGGACCAGGAGGAGACCTTGACGGTTGGGTCTGTAAAGGCAAGCATTGGTCACAGCGAGGCGGTAAGCATGGTTCAAGTTTCAAATTCCCTTGGTCTTTGTTCGTCATCTGCAGGTATACTGCTTTATAGTGTTGCTGACATTTTCGGAACTCGATGGCAGTCGTCTGGAATTGCCTCTGTAATCAAGGCGATCCTCATGTTCCAGAAGAATATTCTGCCGCCTCAGGCCGGAATGCCTCACGCTCTCAACAAGCAGTTCCCGCCACTGCACGACAAAAAGATCAGAATTCTGAGCAAGGCCGCCCCGTTCCATCGTATGAGGGGAAAGCCGAGACGAGTTCTGATCAACAACTTTGATGCCGCTGTAAGTGGCCTCCTTCATCGTCACGCGTCATACTCTAATCTAATTCCTCTGATGCTCAGGGCGGGAACACTGCTTTAGTGCTGGAAGATTTCGAGAGGCATGGAGACAGGGACATACACAAGGACAAAGATCCGCGGAAACCACGAGTTGTGGTGCTATCGGCCCACACGGCAGCATCGCATCGGGCAAACAAGTCCAGACTGGCAAAGTGGCTCCGCGCAAATCCAACCGTTCGTCTCGAGGACATTGCCTACACGACCACAGCCCGCAGGGCTCACCAACCCTCCTTCCGGTTCGCATGCGCCGCCTCCTCGACCAAAGAGCTAACCCATGCCCTCGAGTCCGAGGTGGACTCCAACTTGGACAGGCCGCAGCCAGTCACCTCCAAATCGCCCGTCATCTTCGTCTTCACCGGCCAGGGCTCGCACTACGCCGGTATGGGCGCCGAGTTGTACCATACCAGCCCCGTGTTCCGGGACACGGTGGACTTGTGCAGACAGATCTGCGATGGCTTTGGATTCCCGCCCTTCTGGGATGTGATCACCGGGACCGGGACCGACACGACGTGGAATACGGCGCAGACGCAGCTTGCCTTGGTAACGCTCCAAATCGGCCTCGCCACCTTCTGGAGGCGGCTGGGCGTGGAGCCGGCCTTGGTGATGGGCCACTCACTGGGCGAGTACGCAGCCCTGCATGTGGCGGGCGTACTCTCCCTCGCCGATGCCCTCTACCTCGTCGGTTCCCGTGCCGCCCTGGCCATGAAGAAGTGCGATCCCCGTGCCTACGCGATGCTCGCCGTCTCGGCCCCTGCGACAGCGGTACGCGAAATGATGAAGGAGCTAAGCTTGGACGAGGAGTCTTGCTCAATAGCGTGCGTCAACAGCCCTGGTGCATCCGTCGTGAGTGGAACCGTCACCGCCGTGGCAAGGCTTCAGGTGGCGCTCAAGCAACGCAACATCCGCAACAAGACGCTCCCGTTGCCGTTTGGCTTCCATTCTTCCCAGGTTGACGTGATCTTGGAAGAATTCAAGCCGATCGCCTCCGGACCAGGCATCACGTACTCACCACCCAGTGTGCCCGTGGCCTCGACACTGCTGGCCTCCATCGTCGACGCGGAGACGCCGGCTCAACAGGGCTTCGGTCCAGACTATCTGGCAAAGCAAGCTCGAAACCCCGTTGACTTTGTTGGTGCGATCCATGCCGCTCGGGGCTGGGCTGCGGCGCGGTTCAACGACAAAGGCAACTCCTCGCTAAGCAGTCCGGCCGCGGCCCCGATCTGGCTCGAGATCGGACCGGGCCAGGTATGCGGATGCTTTGTACACGACACGGTCTCGCCGCCGGCTGGACACGTCGTGTCGACGCTGTCGGCTTCCCCTGCCCATAGCCCTTGGGCCTCCATCTCCGAATGTCTTGCCAGTCTGTACGTGCACGGCTGCGATCCGGACTGGCTCTTTCTGCATGCACCCTTCGAACACGCCCTGCAGCTTCTGACACTGCCCTCGTATGCCTGGGACGCGAAGGACTTTTGGATTGCTTACCGGGAGAGAAATTATGCAGAAGTCGGAGCTACTGCCACCAGTACTTGTATGACTCCTACTCGGCCCATTTCCACATGCGCGCAGTATGTCGTGGACAAGTCCACCAAGGATGGAAAGCCCCATCTCACCCTGGCCGCGTCCCTCTCACTGCCGGCGCTCGTTGCGTTGATACAAGGCCATCGCATGCAGGGTGCAGGTCTCTGCCCTGGCTCCGTCTTTTGCGAGGCTGCATTCGTGGCGGCCAAGTGCGCGTTGGAGCACAGCGGCCGGAAGAATGTCAAGGTGGATGAACTCAGTCTTCAAAAGGCACATCTGCGACGCCCGCTCACGGCCAGCCTCGTTGGTCCTGAAGGCAGCCTTCTTACCACAGCTGTCGTTGAATCAGAGAGCCTTGTGCTCGTCTCGTTCAAGGCTGTGGCTGGGCCCGGGTCGCCGGCTCGCTCATTCGACCTTGGCAACTGTGCCGTCGTGGTCCGCAAGGCAGCGGCACCGGACTCTGACTCCGACTCTGACTCGTTCTATATTCGGGCTAGGATGCGCGAAGTGACCAGAACCAGCAATAGCAGACTACCGGCCAGCATCTTCTACGCCCTGTTCTCACACGCGGTGCAGTACGGCAGTAAAAATTATCAGTGTGTGCGGGAGGTCTTTGTCTCTGACGACTTTTCCGAAGCCGTCGCCGAGGTGGTGCCGGCCGTTGACCCGCCCGATCTGCGATTCGTGGCATCGTCTCCCTACTGGGGCGAGGCCCTGGCGCATCTTGCCGGCTTCCTGGTCAATTGTGGCACGGGCCGGTTTGCAGCTGGCGCGCAGGCGACCACGAGCTTCATCATGGATAGCCTCGAAAGGTTCGAGCAGAGGCCCGGAATGATCGAGCCGGGGAGGTCATATTTCACATATGCGCGTGTCCTTGAGAAGAGGGCGGACTCGGCTGTATGCGAGGTCGTCGTCTTCGACGACAAGGACAGACCAGCCATGCGCACCTGGCGGATGAGGTTCCATGAGGTGCCGAATGCAGTCTTGCAGAGCTTGCTTCCCAGAACGCCCAGACAGGAGCAGTTGTCGGATACCGTGTTGCTACCCGCTCCAGAGTCCAACTCAAGCCTCCTCCCGGGTGCGCCTGAGCCTGGTTTGCTTGACGAGCTCAGAGTGCCTAATGGCACGACCCCTGACGTCCAGGTGAGGGAGACAGAGTCAAGAGCCGAACGCTCGGTATTCCTGGAGGACGAACTCGAACATGGGGATTCAGATGCTACCAAGGCCCCGGCCGGCTTGCTTCCAGTCATCCTCGAGAGCATCGCCGAAGAGACAGGGCTCTCGGACACGAGTGAGCTGACAGAAGATATCTCTTTGACGGATCTCGGTGTGGACTCTATCATGGCGGTAGAGATTTGTGCGCGTGTCAAGGCAAAATCGAGCTGTCAGCTATCCCCGTCCTTCATCTTGGAGCATCCGACCATGGGCCACCTTGTTCGCGTGTTTGGTAGAGATGCACCCCAGCAGCAACAGGTCGGCCGACAAGGGCAAGAGCAAGAGCTCGCTCTCGGGCGCCACAAAGAAGATGATGTTACAACAGCTAACAGTCACGAGCCGAAGGAGGAAGTCGAGAAGACCGCGTCTGCATCCCCATTCTCAGCATCCCCATCCTCCTGCTCGAATTCTCCAACACCCACTCGTACCCCAGCGACTCCGCCACTGGAGTCATCATCGCATGTATCAATTGAGACTGCTGAGCCTATACCAAAGGCCAGGATCATGCTGCTACAACCAGGACGTCCACAAGCCGGGGCCTCGACCAGCAAAGCGCGATTGTACCTCGTATGCGACGGCACCGGCAGTATTTCCAACTACATCCATCTGCTCAAGCACCAGTTCCCCCTGCCTGTCTACGGGATCGACTCCCCCTTCCTGCGCTGCCCGTCCCGCCTGACGCCCCGAATCGGCATCCCGGGCATTGCCAGAGGCATGGTGGAGGCTCTCGTCAGCCTACAACCCAACGCCGGCCTCTCAGATGCGAACGGAGGATCCCCCATCGTCCTCGGCGGCTTCTCTGGCGGGGCCCTGTTCTGCTACGAAATGTCTCGACAGCTGGCCGATCAGGGGCGGCGCGTGGACGGCCTCATTCTGCTCGACATGCGATGTCCTCTCCCGCCACCGCCGCCAAACTCGGCACTCCCTCCTTCGGACAAGGAGGTCTGGGAGATCCTGTTCACCACGGCGGAAGAGAGCATGGCCGGGCAGATCCAAGGCTCCAAGGCGGAATCCAACACGAGGAAACACCTGCGCACCATGTTCGAGTCCGTGCTGGGCTACCACCCGCCACAGCGTGTGGCAGTAGGACCTGTCTTCCACCTCCCTGCCGTCATCATCTGGTGTGCCAGAGGCATGGTCGGCCGGCTCGAGGCGCGGCGTCCCGACCTTGTCGCCAAGCTCGTCGAGCTCGGATATCCCGTTGAGTCGTACCCCGGGTATATGGAGGACCCTAAGCTGGGCGCCATGGCCTGGAGTATTCCCCACAAGAAGACCGAGTCCGAATTGGGCCCGGGAGGCTGGGAGAACTTTGTTGGAGCCGGGGAGGACGGTGGCACCGGCAAGAACTTGCTGTGTTTGGCTGTCGACGTGGATCATCATGGTGTTTTGTATCCGCTGACGGCTCCGAAGACTGCCGAGCTTATTGACCAGGGTGTGGCATTCTGCTTGGAGAGGAAAACTTTGATTCAGTGATGGATACATATAGTTACTACCAGTTATCCAAGAAGCGTGGCACGCATAATAGGTACGACGCGTAGCTAGCAGTAAAAAATAGGTGTATGTATCTCCAACGGCGGCCCTATATTTCACGCGCTAGTCTTGAGCTGCGAGTACATAGCCCTCTCAAACTTATGGACAAGAGCCTCTTCAATGGGGTCGCTGTACGGCTGTGTTTGAAATGCCACGAGCGTGCAGAGTCCCGCCGCAGGGTCGATTTGCTTCACACAGGAAGAGACGAGGTCAGCATCCAAGCTCTTCCATCGTCGAAACTTTCTGTGCCAAGAAGAGCATATCACTTACCACTCCGGTGTTCCAACCGTTATTGATTGACAGCGATCCTTTGCGCCGCCAGTTGTCGCCGTCCAAATCCTCCATGATCACGACCGCTCCGAGCCCAAAGTTGCGCCGCAGAGTGGGCCACTGCGGTAGAGGATAACCATAGTTGATGAGCTTGATCACCTTGTTGAAGTGCTCATTCATCTCTCGCTCCATCTGTGCGTCCAGAGCAGGCTGGAAAATGCGATCAACCGTCTCCGGTTTCAACAGGACGCCGTCCCTCTTCAGCAGCGAGTGGATCACCTTCATGTACGAAGCCGGGCTGGCGAACAGGCCACAGCCCCCGTAGCACTCATCCGGGTCCTTCCGGAAGAAGACCGTGTCGTCGTAGTGCAGCGTTCCGTCCTCCCTGCCGTGTTTTGTCAGGTCGGCCCGGCGGGCGATCAGGTCCGGACGCTGTTGGAGCTTGAATGTCATGTCCGTGATGCCCAGCGGCTCGCAGACGTTCCGCTGCATGTAGGTCTCCAGGTCCATGCCCGTCGCCCGCTCGACGAGCTTGCCCGCCCAGTCGATGTTGGTCCCGTGGATCCACTGCACCCCAGGGTCGCCCACGGGCGGTGCGAGCAAGGGGTTGGGAATGTCGGACTCGCCTCCAATGGGTAAGGGATACTCGGAGTAGCCCCTGGCTACAAGCTCCCGCAGCAGGGGGTTGATAGGGACGTGCGACAACCCCGATGTATCCGTGAGCATGTGTCTATGTTTCCAAGAAGATAGGTGGGTTAGGGAACCGACTATCAGTATTGTCACTTGAGATGTCGTTGGGTACCAACCTGAGAGTGATGATTCCATTGCGCTTCCTCATGATCGGTTTTCCCTCGGAATCAAAGCCAACTAGGACCTCCATGCTCGTCAGGTCCGGAAGCAAACGCTCCACGCTTTCATCCAAGCTGACCAGGCCTCGATCTACACATTGCAGGGCCACGACGACCCCAACGAGCGCGGTCGCCTGGCCCATTCTCATGATGGTGTCCACTTCCATAGGGGGCAGTTTCCCATGCTCCTCCGGCCTGACGGATCGGGCTCCGAAACAGCGCACATAGTCAATTTTCCCTTTTCAGAAAAGTCGGTTGTCAGCTAATGGTAGCAACCACTGGCAACATTCTGCCAGGTGTTTGATTAGGTCGGTGTGGAGAGCGTACCGGTTAAGTCTTTTGCCATAACAACAGCACCGGGAATTTGACCTGACTCTACACCCGACTGGAAGGCCGACTCCATTTCTGAAATCATGCTTCTTGCGGCGCCTGACTGGTCCATTGGAAGAGTAGTGGAAGCCATTCTAGAGCTCTATGACTGGGTCACGGGACTTGACCAGCCGGTTTTTCAACTTTCAATAGAGTTGAGTGTGCGACGATTAAGAGGTTGAGAGGGATTGAAGTTGAGGTAGTATTACTCTGCCTTAGTCTGATACTCTTTATACATAGCCTCTGTTATTCACACCCCTTGGGCCATTCCATATATTTTCAGTTCTAAAGCCTACCATGTATCTCAGGTCACTGAGCGGTGGCTAATCCGTGAAGGTACTTCTATAGTATATACCTACTCTAGTTGCTCGAGCGAACCGATTGCGAGTTTGACTCAGTCGTTCTCCTCCTTCATTGTGCCCCTGACATCCTGAATCGTGAATTGATAGCATGGCAACAACCGGGATGGGGTGCGGTCTAAATGACTCTTACAGTGGGGAGTCGAGAATGACGATCTTTGGCCTTGACATATGGGAAAATACTAAATTCGCACCATCGTGTCTTGGCCACCTCTCCCTTACAATTCAGAAATTTTGAAATCTAACCTTTTCTAATTAAAGTTTGGTACTGCATATTCTTGAAATTCCAAACGTTGTTTTTTTTTTTAAAAAAAAAAAAAAAAGAAAGAGATAATAGTTTACGCTAGTAAATGCAGTAAAGCTATTTTTAAACAATGAAATAATACATGATTAAGTCGTATTTTCAGAAATTAAATTTAAAGAGTATGTAAAAATTTATATAACGACTCATAGAAAAGCAAAAGAAAATAGACGATTTACCACACAGGTTAGCTGGCCGAAGTATTACCATTTAAGTAGCTCGAATTTTACACGGGGAAGTGACCAATAACGCTCCAAGTCTCAAGGTGGATCTCATTTGAACTTGGGTGGCGTGGATCCCACGCTTAAGTTCCCTTCATGAGTCCATGACTTCCCAGGTTGGTTTGACTCAGGAGGGACGCTGATCAATTTGTCGGAAAGCTATTTCTGTTTTATGCTCGATATGAGAGTACGGTTACCGTGATGTGTCTGGCTCTCGAGAAAGCAGAGAATTTCAGAGAATCACAGACGAGCCAGCATTGATTAACGTTGTGTGACTGGGGTCTCAGTTCAACCCTTGGAACTAAGAAACTATTCAAACCTACAAATTTGCCTCTTGATGAGTGCCACCAGTGGCGACGAAACCTAGAACTCAGGCACGAGAAAATGGGTCAAGGACACTCGACCCCACGACCGGGCACGGAGTTCCGCGTCATTGGTGCCGGCATGTAGGTCAACCACCCCATACATCACCAGGCCCAGGTCCATGGCCGCTGTGATGCTAACCAGCGTGGTGATACCTACCGCAGGTCCCGGACCGGCACTAAGACCTTCGCCCAAGCCCTGACAACGCTTATAGGGCCTGTCCATGATGGCGGCGCCCAAGGGCTTGTTGGGACCGCGGAGCAGCGGGAACAGTGGCTCCAGGTTATGAGGCTGGTGACCAAGGAGGATAAATCGCTGGCCGAGAAGAAACGGCTAGAGTGGCTATTGGCCGAGCTCATGGATGGTTATTCGGCGGTGAGTAAACATATTGCGCGGCTCTTATGTTCCTGGTTTCAACCGAATTTATCGCTCACCTTTCTCTGAGGCCGTTGACGCCCCATGTATCTGGCTTGTCCCGGAGCTGCTTAAGCTGTATCCGGATGCTATTGGTAAGTAGAATATCTGATACGTCGACCACGAAAATCTTAAGCCGACTTCAGGAGCTGAAATTTGTCTTTCAATAGTGATCGCAACGACCCGAGATACTGAGTCTTGGTGGAAGAGCGCGCAGACGATTTCTGGTAAGCCGTCCCTTCCGTTTGTTATCCGTCATGCCTGGGCCCTGAATCTCCTTTGGAACCTTCCAAAAACTAAGTCCGCTTTACGTTTAGCCCTCGTCGACCGGCCACACTTGCCATTCTTTGCCCGGCCATTGCCCGTGCTAAACTCATTCGTCAAGTACGTGAATCGTGATTACGCCTATAGACCGCCTCACTTAGTCTACCATCGGACAACCCCCCCTAGTCCATATATGTTTTCCATGCGTGCTAACAATTTCTTACCAGGTGGGGACCACTTATCGAGAAGACATGCGTGTCACGTCTGGGCGTCAAAGGCTTCCAAGGCCCCGAAGTGCTCGAGACGCATGAGGCGTTCCTCCGCAGGGTCGTGCCGTCGGAGCGCCTCTTTTTCTACAGGGTCCGTGACGGCTGGGGACCTTTGTGTGAGATGCTAAAGGTGCCGGTCCCAACGCATCCATTCCCCTATAACAATAAACCCGAGGACGTTAGGGCGGTCAAGCGGTTCGTCATCGTGGCTGGCTCCGTGGCGTGGGGCATAATCTTCAGCGGTGCTTTTAGCTGTACCTGGTATGCATGGAGATTGTGGTCAAACTTGCAGAGGCAATGGTAAGATGTGATTTGCTGTCATTTACCGCTTGGCTAGCTTCAGTATTATAAGGACATAGATCGGTTCTTCAATGGTGAATATCCTGACTCGAATAGGTTAGACACATTGAACAGAGCTGCTGTAAGGCGATTCACGAATTTCATCCCCACCACTTTACTTTGTCCCTATGGCGAAGGCAGCACAGGACATGACTGGTTTTACTAAATATAGAATCCATCACTGAGACCTGGGTATTGCGTTCTTATGTGTCATTCTGGTTGATGCAGATAGCGCCCAGCCACAGCGCTGCATGTGGGCAGTGCTTTTGTCGGGCATGAAAGTCATCTTTGATGGGACTGTTGCTACGTCGCCACGGCCCAGAGGCTCGTTTTGGCTGTAAAGTATCGATTCACCTTAATTCTTGCGTAAACAAAAGACAGGCAAAGGGCAGCGTAGCTACGAGTGACTTGGGAGCCATTTAAAGGTGCATGATTCCACTGTACATTTCGAAGCGTGAACGCTACCACAAGCCCCCCCCCCCCCGGGGGAACCAACAGCGCAGTGCTACACAGACTTTCTAAATTTGTTTGTATGCATTTTTACAGCGACGCAATTAATCCACCTTAGGGAATTTTTGAGTCATCAAGGCTTTTTCTAGCCGATGATGCCTTATGAACACAATCATTCGACCCCAACTCCAGTCGCCCTGCGGTGGTCTGTCTGGACTAAATCAAAGGACGCCCAATAGTGCTGGCTCCACTAATAGACCATGGAAGTGGAGCCGCCTTAGGGTGAGTTTTACACGGGGACTGATGTGTTACCTTTGGGCGTCATCCAGAACATGATGCTACTGGTTCTGGTATCAGACAGGCACATCTGCGAGGCCGATTTGCTATGATGGGCTCACAACGCCCTGCAGGTTGTCATGTGGATATTCTGAAAGCCTCAACTTGCCTGAAACTCGCAAGGGTAGATGAATACAACACGTCCCTCCACTAGCTTGCCGGCAGGCCGGCCGCTATCTCATGCAGCTGAATCCACACAGATACATTTGCATACAGCTGATCCTGCCTCGCAAGCCACCTGGCAAGGTGCCTTGGATAGGGTGGGATTAACACGGCCAATGAGAGTTGCAGGAGAAGACGCCACGGCCGGGGCCATGCATCAGCTCATCGAGTCCCATTCTGCCTAAGGGAGGATTGGCGCATGCAGGTTTGTGGTAACCTTGAGTGCCTCCATTATTTGAGTGGATGACCGCGAGCGGGACGGCACAGGAATCAACGTGAGAGCAAAATGGTGTTCTTCGTCTGCCAAGTAAGTCACAGAAGCCTTACACTCATCAAGACGAGATGATCCTTCCTCAGATTGCAGACATTAGCGTCTCAAACATTGCCAGCATCCTTGCAACCACCTCCAGCGCTTCCAACATGGGCGGCGAGACGGACTCCAACCTGCTCAGCCAGTGGTCTAATCCCACCGATATATCGACTATCCTCATGGTGATCGGCGGCGACGTTGTCCAGAAAGCACTTGCGCAGGGAACGGGCGTGTGGTATTTCACGCCAGTGTGCTTCTCATTCGGCTGCGTCTCCTACGCCTTCACTGCTCTCGTCAATATCATAGGAAATGGGCGCCTCCTCCCGGAACCGGACTATCCCGTCAAGGTGTTCAATCTTGAGTCAGGCTATGTCCGCGAGAACAAGAACTGGGTTGCTGGTCGAATCCTGCGGGACCTTGAGACCAGTCTATCAGAGGAGGAGCCCTTGGCTGACGACGCCGTCCGCATATCTGTCTATGAGGCCGCAGTCAACCGTAACGGCCTGACTCAGTTCTCCCTCAGCCATATGCACCTCTGGGGCCTTGCATGTATCCTGGTGCAGCTCGATCTGGCCACTATTCCCATCGCCCTGGCGCGGGAGTGGGACATAATGCTCATCACGGCGGCGGGCACGCTCCTTGTACAGATGGTGGGCGCACTGCCCCAGTGGCGCGCCGAGAAGCTGCCCAACCGCCAGAGGCGGTCCGCAGCCTACGCCCTGACGCAGGGCAACGGGTCGCGCGAGATCGCCGTCATCTTCGGCAAGTCCAACTGCCTGGATCTCGAGGAGCTGTCTTCGTCGAGCAGTCCCCGGGGTGGCAGGCCCTGGGAGAAATTCACGTGGGGCGACATCTTCTCGAAGCCGCGCAGAGGCAAGGATGGCCATCCGGAGATACCGCGCCGAGACACCCGGCTGCGCAAGGCGCGAGTCGGCCACGGGCTCCCGTTCGGTTTCTGGCTCACGCGCGTGTCGGTCGTGTCGCAGTCCGTCCTCTGGCTGCTGCTGCTCGTCAACGTCGCCAGCTCGCGCAGCTACAACTGGGTGCTCCTGGCGATTGGAGCCCTGGGTATGTTCCAGAATGGCTACCTGGCGGGGATGGTACGGCCGCCGCACCTGCGCAACCTGCCGCTGACACATGTCGAGGTCATCCGGGCCAAGAAGGTAATGGATGGGCTCGTGGACCTGGAGGTGCAGTATCGCTGCGCTGAACCGCTCCGAGACGAGTTCTTCCCCGGAAAACTGCGTGAAGCAGAGAATGAATGGTGGAGGGGGAACAGGGCCCCTTGTGACAACGACAGGGCGAACGCAGAGTGGCGCGGCACGCCGCGGAGTTATCAGAAGAGAATCTCAACACTGTCTGGCCCATCGATCAAGTACACCGGGCAGGCCCAGGTGCCGGTGCGTATGGAGGAACGTGAGAGATATAGCTATCACTCTTACACACCGTCTGTGACCAGCGGTCGCAGCGTTCCGCCAGCTCCAGTTCCGTGGGCCCAGGAAAAGAAGACGGAGCGCGAACCGCCCAGGGCAGACTATCAATACCCGGGGCTGTCTACAAAGCCAATACGCGCTGCAAGGCCAGTGTCATCAGCAGACAGGAGACTGGATGATTGGAAGGAGGCAAAAGAGCCAGGAAACATCCCAGAAGTGGACGGAAAGAGCACGTGGAACGATCACGAAAGGGACTTAGACATGAAGTGGAGAGATAGCATCCCGAGGTTGCCTTCCAATAACATGTAAAATAGCTAGCGTAGGAGCAGTTCGTTATGAGAATTCCCGAGTCGCGGGTCCTTATCATTTCCAGGCAGTTATACCGGTTTCATTTCTTTCAGGGCTATCCACGTACCTAGTTAGATGCCTGCTGTACCTACTTAGTTACCGGGATATGGCGTATCTATTCTGTAATCCTATGACCTGCCAAACTTCAAACGACTTTGATTCTGCGCCTCTTTTGCGATGAGTGATATTTTTGTATGTTGTTCTTGGCTCATTCGTCGTCGGCTTGGAAATTTGTATAATGCATGCCCACCTTTGAAGGATAAACAGCCCGTCGTGACCAACGTGGTGCCGTCTTTGAGTTCTTCAGTGCCTACCAACATCTCCACCCCTAGACTGAGCATAGTTCCGACGAAGATCGGAATCCGGTTCCACAATGGAGTGATACCATCGGTCGCAAGATTGATGGAGTGTGTAACGTACTCCACGAGCGTCGGCGTCAATGTGATATTGTCCCACTACCAGCGTGGAGGTATATACGTTGAGCAAGGTCGCGGAAGATCAACAGGCGCAACGTGCCGGTGCACCACCCCAAAGTCCTTCCCGTTGACTTGAGAGGTCCTCGATGCAAGGAGACACGGCGGACTAATTTTCTATTATTTAGAGGTCTGGTGATCAGAAGTTAAAATTATACGCTAGAGAGAAGAATGGAATGACTCGAGTGGTGACACTCTCACACAGAGGGCTGCGAAGGGTTAAATAAGTCTCCCAGTATGACCACTCTAGGAGGGCCACCGACACAAAAGTAGTACAGAACCGACCTGAATGCATAGTGCAGCGCTGAGTAAATAAGCTGGGGAGATATATGTGAGCCCCACAACAGCCTGACCTGGAAACAGACATTTTCTTTGACACTTCACACTCTACTTGTCTGAGCCCTTTTCGGCGGGCCTTGCGGTGAAGAGCCATCCTCATTTCCCTGCGACTCAGCATCGTCCACCAATTTGGGTTGGACTTCCACCCTGGGCCTTAACCTTGGCAAAGCGAACCTGCTCATTCCAGCAAAGTACTTACAGCTCGAATTGTTCTGCTGCTTCGCCTCCGGGCCAGAATTCCGATGACGGGAGGCTTTTCCGTAGTGGGTTCCTATCCCAAACGACCACACAGTCAGCAATCTAGCGTTGCCATGCAGTCATATACATGTGTGAAGACCAACCGCGGAGGCGTATTGCTGCAATAAGGAGATACTCTTGACATACAACAACTTTCAGCCCTAGCCGTTGCAGAACGACTACGGCGGCATCGGCGTATCTGTCAATAGCACGCGCACTGTGCTCTTCAAAATCGACTATGCCTTGTCTTGGATATCCGATCAGAGGCGCCTCATTCAACTCAACGGCGCGTCGTTTGATCAGCTCATCAATTGTTCGGATTGGCTTCTTACTCTCGACTGCTGCATTGTGTGAGAGAAGGCCACGGACCTCAGAGGCGAGAGTGTACGTCGTGGTTGTAGACATGATGTGCTGTGTACCGAGTCAAGTAGGGTTCGCAGAGGTATTAAAGAAATCGCGCAAGCTCTGTCCACTGCTTTGTGGTCAGTTGAGCGGATCCCATCCGTGCGATTTCGTTTATAAGTATTCAGACGCAGCCCCGAAAGGCGTGCAGTTGAAATGTCGGATAACGAAGGTGGTTGGTCTCTTAGGCTGGAGTCACATGGTGTATCGATTCTCCGCTTACACGCACTAGCACTCTTCTCCAGAAGGTATTCTATCAGATCCTTCTTCTCACCTGCGTGATTGCACCTTGCGCAGATACACACCACACAAGGTGGCATGCCTAGACGCTCGCAAGAGGTATCTGGAACAGCATCGCTTTGGTGAGATGTCTGATGTCGAAAGTGCCCAGTCTACAAGATCAGTCTAGCACCGTCTCAGTATGCAGGGACATTCATACTCGACTAATGCCAGGCCTTAAGACAAGACAGCGCACAACGTTCCAGTCTTGAACTTATATACCGCCGACTTGTGGCCCTGATATCCATTGTTTCTCCTCGGGTCATCATTCAGATGTTGTTGGGTGGGGTCGTGTATCGCGTGTCGGCACATAGTTCCCTTGTTTCTAAGTGGTCTCGTTTTTAATCTGTTTACATATGCTTCTTAGGCAGTATGTATCCAGTCCCTTCATACAGTGGTAAATTGAGGAAGTAATTATGCATCAAAATAATAATTTTGGAGGGATACTTTGAACCGGATGCAAGCCGCACATGCTCCAAGCTAATATATTCAATTTGTCCTACATTTTACTTTCTGTATTATGGCTCTTAAGATTCAAGTGGCAACTTGAAGATTCTAATGGCGTTTCTCCTTGCCACTGCCTCTTTGTCAGTGGGCGGAAGGTCCACTCCTTTCCACCAGTCCTGGGCTTCCTTGACCGAGTCGTAAGGGTAATCTGTGGAACCTGTCAGTCGGTGTCCCATGGCGACAGAGTTCCAGAGAGCAATTTAATGACTTGAGGACTCACCAATGGAGAACATGCACCTTTCTATGCCAATTTGCTCAATACAGAACTTCAGGCCGGAGGTCGAGAAGTCGCCCGAGGTTGTGATCGAGACGTTGTGCTGGAAGTAGTAGCTGTAGTCTTCTCTTGAGGGCCTTGTGGCTTTTTTCACTGGTTTGTTGTACCAGTGGTCTGCCCGCCAGAGGTTGAAAGGTATACTGGCGTCACGTCAGATCCGGTACACGCGGTTCCACAGCCTCAACCGTATCTGACTCAGACCTACCCTTCCCCGAGGTGCCCGGCTACGACCTGAACCCCGGGAAACTTGTCAAAAATGCCGCTCGAGCAAAGCGCATAAAGGTGGAAGCTCAGGTCGAGGTGGAAAGACACAGCGGCTCCAAGGAGGTGCTTCCTCGGGGCCCATTTTGCAAGCGGTCCCTCGAGCTCCTGAGAGATGGGATACCGAGGGTGTAAGTAGATTGGAACGCCTAGGTTCTCGACTTCCTGCCAGAACAATTCGTATTCCGGGGCATCGTAGTATTTCTTGCCCGCACCGTCGTCACCATAGGTCTGAAAGTCATTCACCATGGCCCCAAACATCCCTAGGTCTTTCACTGCCCGTTTAAGCTCCGCCGCCGCCTCGGCTGGGTTGTGCATCGAGAGAGAAGCGAGTGCTCCAAATCTGCTAGGGTTCCTGTTCACCTCATTGGCCAGCCAGTCATTGGCATTTCGGGCAATATTGGCAGCCCTCACAGGGTCCTTCTCGCCTTGCGCACCTGGAGATGTCAGGGACAACAGCATGTATTCGACACCCTCGGCATCCATCTCACTGAGACGCTGGCCGTGTATGTCCATGAGCTTTTGGGTCAGGGAATGGTGTTTGAGCTGAGAAGCATTTTGGCCAGGTGCAAACAGGGACGCCGTTTCTGCCATCCACGAGACACCCTCAGGATTGAGAACAGCTTCCTCAATGGCTATGGTTCCCTTTTGAGGCATCTTTCCACAGTACGTATTTAGCCCAGGGTATTTGATGAATGTTGGGTGTCCTTGTGTTTTTTTTTTTCCTCTGGGGGGCAAAGGGGGGGGGGAGCGGGGTGTGTCCAATGAGGAAGGCTTTGCGTAGCTTGAGACCGTCGTTAATGCGAGTAAGATTATTGTCAGACGGGTTGTCCAAAAACCGGATTCACCACTTACTGCTCGAGTGACCGCGGCGTCGTCCGGATTAATAAGTCTTCGGGAACCGTGGGGACTCTTGGGAATTTCAATACCTACTAGGCTCTACATTTCTCGGTGATGTGGCCTTCGGCAACGCGTTGTGAGACCAAGCAGTGTAAGCCCCGCGTATTGTCAAATGTCACTTGCGTGCTACCAATATTGCAATGGTCCATGAATGTAGCCCCTCAGGAAGAATTATGCCCCGCTTTGTCGGACGATGGACCCGAGGCCTTGGCGTCCTAGGCGTCCAAGGATGATCTGCCGACCAACTGTTCGTCCGCCGGGGTCCTGATATACCCGGGAGTAGCTCTCTTGTAAGAGACAACCATGCCGGCAAGCGGGCCAGGCGCGCTGGCGGGATGGTCTGGGACATCAACCCCGCTGTGGAGGTGCATGAGTTACCGACTTAGTGGATACTTCACAGGCCGTGGAGGGTGGTGTTTCAGGGGAATGGGACTTGTGTATCATTCATTGATGACATCGGCGGCCGCCTAGCAGGAAGCCCTGACAAAATTGTGCTTCTCCTCCTCCGAGTCCTTTGTTTCCCCGCGTCTCACCACCAAAACAATAGTTATCAACAATTTTCCTGGCCGTTTTCCGTGCCCGACCTTGACTGACAATTCCTCGAGTTTGCGAGCTTCCAATACTAAATTGCCACGAATCTCACCACACAGTATTGATCATGGCTGCAGACGGGCACAAGACCAACGGGACAATCCCTTTTCACCCTCGCATGCTTATCAATGGCGAGGTGGGTCTCGAAACCTGCCAGATATGTCTCGGGGATTGGTAGCTAACAGAAGGTCGGGACCAGTTGGTAGAGGCTTCAGGCAACAAGACCTTCACGCTGCACAACCCCGCAACTACTGCGAAGCTGGCAGACGGTAGGAACTCTATTCACACACAAGAACACGCCAGGACAAAACTAAATCATGCATATAGTCCCCGAGGCAACTGAGGATGACGCCAATGCCGCTGTCGCCGCAGCAAAGGCGGCTTTCCCGTCGTGGTCGGAGACGGCCCCTGCCAAACGCGGCAGCTACTTGCACAAGCTCGCGTCGCTGATCAGGAGCCATAACGAGGAGCTGGCGGTCCTCGAAGCCCAGTCCATGGGGAAGCCCGTGGCGGGCTACTACGATGCCTACGCGGCAGCTGGCAAGTTCGACCACTACGCGGCGTCCTGGGAGCAGATCAAGGGCGAGAGCAGTCTCAACACCCCAGGTCATGTCAGCTTGACCTTCCGCCAGCCTTATGGCGTCTTGGCTGCAATCATCCCCTGGAACGTGCCGCTGCTCTTCTTCGCCTCAAAGGCGGCACCGGCGTTGATAACGGGCAACACCGTGGTTGTCAAGACGAGCGAGAAGGCCCCCCTCGCCGCTGCGAAGGTGGCCGAACTCATCAAGGAGGCCGGCTTCCCACCCGGCGTCTTCAATGTCATTTCTGGACATGGTAACCCTTCTGGAGCCGTGCTTTCCTCTCACATGGACGTCCGTGCCCTCACCTTCACTGGTTCGGCTCGCACGGGGAGGCTCATTCAGGAGGCGGCCGCGAAATCGAACCTGAAGAAGGTCATCCTGGAACTGGGCGGCAAGTCCCCTGCATTGATCTTCGAAGATGCCAATCTGGACAAGGCAGTCGCGGACACAAGCCATTCCATTCAGTCCAACAGCGGCCAGATCTGCATGGCCAACAGCCGCGTGTACGTGCAGAAGAGTATTGCCCCCAAGTTTGTCGAGGCGTTCCAGAAGAAGTTTTCACAGATCACCGCTGGCGATCCCACCAAGAAGGAAACCAACCATGGTCCGCAGGCCGATGGCTTCCAGTATAACAACGTCTTGAAGTATATTGAGGAGGGCAAGAGTGCCGGTGGGTCACTTGCGTTGGGAGGTAAAGGCAAGCTAGACAGCATGGGAGGGTACTTCATCGAGCCGACCGTGTTCCTGGACACTCCAGAAAACTCAAAGTTCATGAAAGACGAGATATTCGGGCCGGTGGTCAACATCAGCACATTCGAAACCGAGGAAGAGGCCATCAAGATCGCAAACGACACCGAGTTTGGCCTCTACGCGTCCGTGTTTACCAAGGATATAGACCGCGCCTTGAGAGTTGCCAAGGCCCTGGAAAGCGGGTACGTGGGAATCAACTGCACGAGTCCCAAGATCGCCGCCGACATGCCCTTTGGCGGCTACAAGTCCAGTGGCCAAGGGCGCGAGGGGGGCACGAACAGCTTGGACAACTTCCTGGAGGTGAAGACCGTTCTGATTGATCTTGGGTCACGGCTTTGATAGATGCGCAAGTAGCACAGTACTCATACCCAGACCTCAGCTTGGGAGGCTGTCGGCCACTGAATTCTGAATTTCCAGTTTCCATGTGCCAAGAATAATGACTAGATCCAGATGGTGCTATTGCAGGCTCGATGTGAGAACAAGGGATTTGACCCACGATGTAGAACCCTATCTATTCGTCTGTTTAGGGTGATGAAGACAAGAAGCATCTAAACCAACAGTCACGTATAACTCTAGGTCGTGACGACAGGCGGGATAGTCTCAACGTGTTCAACAAACGCAGCGTTGTTCTCTCCTCTCTCTCCTGATGGTCCAGAGTGTCTCTTGAAGATCTCATCAAAGACAGTCTCTGCGTGGGTTTCTGCGTCATGGAAATGTATCCAGTCGTCTCGAGGCATTGCAATGCTCTCGGGGTCTTCTCGGACCTTGTTCCAATCAGTCTTATGCCACATGTCTCTAGTAGTCTCCCCCGTCTTCTGCACCGCCTTGACACGGTCGTATCTGCATACACCATCAGCAAAGGTTTGCGGTTCTATATCTGAGATGGAGAGGACATACCTGATCTCCTCGTGGGTCTTGAGGGCTGCCTGAACATTCTCCTTTCCAGCCCTGCGGAGACATATAGCAAGCGTAGTGCCATCTTCCATGGCCTGTGTAGCCCCTTGGGCGCTGGTCGGGAGGAAAGGGTGCGCCGAATCTCCCAGGAGCAGGATCCTGCGCTTGTTGCTCACCCAAGTAGGCAGGGGGTCACGGTAGACGAGCTTCCAGTCAACCAGGCTGGGGGTCTTCTCAACGATGGCTTTGCAAATGGGGTCCCAGCCTTCGAGGACCTCGTACACTTCCTCCAGCTTGCCTGGGAACGACCACGACTCGTCGATGTCGTGCTCGTCTTTGTGCGTGAGCACCCAGCAGCAGTCGGAGCCGTTCTTGATGGTTGAGAAGAGGAAATGCACGTCGGGTCCAATCCAGCCATTGAAGGTGTCCCCATTCTCGCAGAATTCCTTGGTGCGGGGATCCTTGATCATGTCTGTGTTGGGAAACCTAACTTGAACGTAAGCACATGTGCATCTTCATGTGAAGGGCATGCTCCGTGACTGCTGTACGTACCATGCTCTCCAGACTGCATAGCCGCTGCTCTTGGGCTTGTCCTCGTATCCGAGCACGAGCTCCCTGGCTTTGGACCGAACACCGTCTGCCCCGACCACCACATCTGCAACAATCCGCTCACCACCCTTCAGGATGATTCCGGCCTTGTCGTCGGTCTCGAAATATTCAGCAACGTTTTCACCTAGGTGGATGGGGATCCCCAGCTCGTCCCTCGCATAGTCGAAGACCACCTGGTGGAGCTCGCCCCGGTGGCCGTTGAACACGGGTGCCTCTTTATTTGGGCTGGGGGTCTTTTGGTGAAACATGACCTCTCCCGTGTCGTACTTGTGGATGCGGAAGCCATACTCACTCAGGTCAATGCTGAGCTTCCGTAGGCGGTCCGATATCTCGCCGGGGTGATTCCCCCAGCGGTAGAAAATGCGGCCGCCGTTGGAGCCAAACGAGATGATATCGCCGAGGACCTTGAGTTCCGGAAAGGACTCGTAGACCTCGACATCATGACCGTGGCGGTGGCATTCTATGGCTGCAGTGAGGCCGCCGAAGCCTGCTCCCACAACGACGACCTTGATGCCGGTCTTCGGCTTCGTGGTGGTGGCCATGGCTGCTTGATGCGGGAATGCGACCTGTAGGTGCGTCGCCTTGTATGTAGTGTGATTCAGTGATGGTCACCAGCGCTGCTTCCTGAGGTCGAGCCGTGTGCAAGCCAAGAGGTGATGTTTGCTTCTGTTTAGGGCGGACCCCGCGGGGGAGAAATGTAAATTGCTACAGATACTTAACAGACCAACGTGAGCACTCCTGAAACGAGGGTACTCGCGACTTATCTCTACAGTACCCGCCGGCCGATCGGCAAAAGCTCAAGTCAGGAAGCGTCTGAGAGGAGGTGGACTTGTGCATACGCAGCTTCAGTGTTGCTATCAGACGGCCCCTCAGTTCCGGCTGCCCTGATTCTCGACACCGTGGTGGGTCAGCTGGCCATTGCAGGGTGGTAGATATCCCGCGGGTCATCTAATGGATCAATTGCAACGACCTCTCCCTGTGCGACTTTGATGGTTGTGACGCCTGCCCAAGCATGCAGGCAGGGGCTTTCACCCGTGGCCCCGGTCGCCCCGTCTCTCTTCTCCCCGCACAACTAGATCGTCCCTGTCACTTGGCCGTCAAACTTGTTCCCGTTGGCGGATGGACACTACATCTGATGTGATCGGCCTGCAGAAGTGCCGGCCGTCAAGACATCAGTCAGCTCTGTCAAATCCAGCGCTATTCAGGATATGTTGGCTTCCATTAGGAACACGAGACCAGACTGTAACAGTCTACGCCGAATCCCAACCACTAATACACATCTAGATTCCTAACCCGTGTGCACTACCAGTACGGCCCCAGCGCGTTGGGATTTCGGGCGGCGAACAGGTCAGGGACAGGGGCATGCATCCCTTGTTTTCCCCGCGAAGCTACCCCGGATTTCCAAATGGGCCTAAGGCAGAGGACTGATCAAGGAGAGGAGTTACCCCAGACTGTTGCGCGGCGCAGTGGAGACTGGAGAGCCACAGAAGCTCTGCAGGCCGGCAGTTATCCCATTTGGCCAGGTGGTTTGTCGGAACCAGATCAAGCATGGTCTGCAGTGTGACATCCCACCCAGCACGGCTTCAGGACGCCATTCGTTGCCCACCAGCTGGGGTGAGGCGGCAAAATGCACCATGCTGTCGAATCTCCCATATTGGATCAGTGATGGCAGATCTATCTAGCATTCAGGACCGAGGGTGGTTGCGTCGTATTACCATGTGTACCCGCGGCAGGCTCGAGCACTCCCAGGCTCTAGATATGAAAGCCTGCCTCCTCTCTCTTCAGGATTTCTCCAAGAGTGACGGCGCGTATTCGTTGACTTCTGTCTCTTTTCGGTCGTGTCTTTTCGATACTCGAGAGCCCTTTCCCAATCTCCGCAGATCATCGGCGCTTCCACGCCTCCATCATCTTCATCATGAAGACCGATCAGACTGTGGAGTCTAAAGCAACAAACTCCAGCGATGGATCCCAGAGCCCTACTACAGCTCCTGCCAGGAGGGCCTATTCAATCAAGGATCACTGGAAGTGCCTTGCAGCCTGTACCCTTGTCTCTATGTGCCCTTTCCAATATGGTAGGTCTTTACAACAAGAACCAGACTCTTCTCCAGCCGAATGGGGCACGCTGACCTGGACAATAAGGACTGGATTTCGGCCTCATAGGAGGCCTACAGGCCATGATTGGCTTCCTCAAGGCAAGTACAGCGGCGAAAACCCTCTTCCCCGGCCCGCTCCTTGAAACCCCTTCGCCAACATGCTATTCAATTTCCTGACCTTGAGTAGATTTTCGGACACGAAGCACCAGAGACCCCGCTGGGCTGGAACCTCTCGACGGAGCGCCAACAGCTTATTTCGTCTCTCATGACCCTCGGCGCGTTCCTGAGTTCATCAACCGCAGGCCCAATTGCCGCCTTCATGGGCCGCAAGCCGAGTATCTGGTCCGCCAGCCTGCTGTGCTGTATCTCGAATGTCATCATGATGGTAACAACCAATATCAACGCTATATACATCGGTCGTCTGCTGCTTGGGTTGGCGAATGGCCTCTTCATGACATTCTCGCAGCTGTACATCCAGGCAAGTCTCGCAGCCTATGCAGCACGTCAATGGAAGTCGCCACTGACGGCGTCTTTGAATAGGAATCTGTTCCGGCACGATACCGAGGTCTAATGATTTCGTCCTTCCAAGTATGGACGTCAGTCGGATCTTTGATCGGCACTATAGTCGACAACTTTACAGCAAAGATCATGAGTCGGGAATCGTATCTGATTCCGCTGGGGCTAATATACATCGTCCCCGTCATCATGGCTATCGGCCTCCTGGTGATTCCCGAGTCGCCGAGGTGGCTTCTCGAGCACGGCCATAGGGACAGGGCCCTGAAGTCGCTGCTGTGGCACCGACCATACGGCCAGGCGGAGGCAGAGGAAGAGCTCAAAGACATGCAAGAGGCGCTGGAGGGAGAGATGCGGACAAAGCAGAACGCTGCCATCAAAGACATGTGGACACATCCTGTGGACCGCAGGAGAACTGTCTTGGCAGTCTGCGCTATCACGCTTCAGGGCGCCTCTGGTGCAATGTACATGATAGGTAATTCCGCACGCCCCATTCCCGCGCCATTTCTTCCCTCAGGCCCCGGATAATACGTTTAGGCTCGTGTCTGACACTTCTCAGCTTATGGCACCTACTTCTTCGAGATGGCCAACATCGGCAACAGCTTCGAGAACTCATGTATTCTGACGGCCGTTGGTGTCTTCGCTATCATACTCAACAGTGCCGTCGTCACCCACATCGGCCGCCGGCGCGTCTTCCTTACCGTTGGCTTGTTTATCTGCGGGTTGTCCCAGCTCCTGACAGCTATCATCTACACCATCCGGCCGGGGACCCAGTCGACAGGCAAAGGAATAGTTGCACTCGCAATCATATACATATTCGGCTACAATGTAAGTACTGTTGGATTCAATGGCTGCACCTCGGCTGACGAACCGTAGGGAATGGTGGCCACGTACGCCTGGATTTCGGGAGGAGAGTTGCCATCGCAGCGGCTGCGGTCCTACACCTTTGGCCTCGCGACAGCCGTCGGTTTCTTCGCCGCCTGGCTTGCGACATTTACTGCGCCCTACTTCATCAACCCGGAGTCTCTGAACTGGGGACCAAAGTATGGCTACATCTGGACGCCTTCTTGCTGGCTCGCAGCGTGAGTGTTCCCGTGTCTAGGCCAAAGTGCTTCGCTAGTATGCTGACGCCGAAAAGTGCATGGGTATTCTTTTTCCTTCCAGAGGTCAAAGATCGGTCACTTGAGGAAATCGATGAGATGGTAAGGAGTCTCACAACTTGCGTCCCCATTGCCAGGTAATAGTAACTTGCGATGGCTAATCCGTCATTACTTACAGTTCGAAGCGCGTCTTCCCGCCAGAAAGTTCCGCCAGTATGTCTCCGTCGGTCGGGCTGGCCGCGAGGCGGAGAAGAAGGAAGCAGAGGTCGTACACGCGGAGGAAGTCGTTTGGGCCGATGGAAAGGCCGCTTCCGAAGCTGCCACGGCCATCGCTTGAGAAAGTGCAAAGGTCAACGTATCATTGTGTGTGCCTCAGTTGGAGCGGTTGCGGGTGCCAGTGTACATGGATTCAAGAAGCCTCCATCTAGGCAAAGTGGATATGGAATATGTTGATACTGTTCGCACTGCGCTTTTTGTCACCAAATTTCAGCGTGTTGAAATGACCTTGTTCTTCTCGTCCATCTTTAACTTCCGTGGCTCCCACGAAGCCTCCAATACTACATTCGGATACTGATCAAATCGGGGGTAAGCTGGAACCGGGGTTCTTACAACGAACTGTCTTTAGTCAGCGTGTATTTGTGAGAAGAGAAAAGACCCGCTCAGGTGTTGAGAAAGCCTAAGATCGTCATCTGCCTATGCTCACCCTACTCAAATGCGCGCCCTAGCTACGATCCTCTGGATCTCGGCCATTACCTGACGATGACTTGAGACAAATGCTGTTGGCTTGCCTTTTTTTTAACGTACTCTAGCTTATTTGCGAGGATCTCAAAAGTAGAAGAAGTGAAATTTATTAAAGAATGAGTGCTGCATCTCGATCGTTGGGATTCGATAATATAATAAGAATGTGGGTGCCTAGGTTGTGAAAGCCTTTCAACCAAAGTTTTCCTGCTTATAGGGGTTCCTGGACTGCTCCAAATAAGCTGGTATTTGACAGGTGCATCAAGCAATACCTTTGGATGCTGGAGTTTGTGGTCTGCATATCGTTCAGGCCTGTGTATCTGTCTTTGCCAGGCTAGGAGAAGTTTCTGCACGGCTAACCTTGTCCGAGGCAGTGGAACATTGAGATACTTCCACAGAAGACCAAACTTAAGCAAACGAGCCGTGCTAGTGGAGTATAATAGGACCTATTACTGTAGACAAGTGTGCCACGCTTGAAGCGATATTAATTACATGTGGGTGTCGATTGTCACTTCGTCTACAAGAAAACTATAAGTGTAACATTTGAAGACAGAACATAGGATATTCGGCACCAAATCCTATTGATAGCCATGTTCCGGTCATAGGTTTCAATCCAATAATGTGTACAACCATTCCAATGACTGGGCCCGCTCCTGCGATATCAAGAAGGGCGTTTTGGCGCTCACTCCTGTGATGTGCTGTCTCTTCTACTCCATTTCCGTGTCAGTTCTGTTCATGCCACCAGGCTGAGGGTCTTGAATCGAGTCTTTCATAAAAGCGTGGACTCTTCGGACAGAAATGAGGTAGTTTATGTCAGTGACGGTCTTCATTCCATATACTTTAAATTTTCAAGCACGATTTCAAGGACCACCACACTACGCAAGTGATCATGATATTAATGAAGCAATTAAGCAAACGATAGTTGATTATTGTGTGTTGAGGAGAGAAATCTCTCGCTATTAAATGCTTAAAAGGAGCCTATTTATAGGCTAGCGCTAGCATATAGGCATACAATCCTCGCACCTTTTAACACACCCCTTATCGCGAATATCATTATTTAATGATAATAAGGGATGTAATATATGATAGCTAAAATATAGTTTAAATATTCCGCTGTAATTTATATTAAGATTACTATATAAATATCGTTTAACGTTTATATATTCCGCTTGCATTATTTTTAGCTAATTATTTAAATGCTTATTTAGCAATATAAACCTTATACTTATCTTAGTTTTAATCTTATATAAGCCTTTTTAAAGATAAGGCAAGGCAATGCTTTTATGTAAATATTAATAAAATTATCTTTAAATATAATATAATAAACATTATATATCTCTTTACTTCCTTTATAAATAAAGTAATAATTAATAGCAATATATTTTAATTAAGCGTTAACTTTATAATTTTAAATAAAGTTTAATGCTAATTAATTATTAATATATAAAATAAATAAATATTTAATATATTTAATATTTAAATTCCTTAATGCTTAAATTATTTAACGAAAATATAATAATGCTAATAAATATGCTATATATTTCGCCTTATAAATAAATTTTATAATAATAAATTAACGCTTTAATAATTAAGCAATTAAGCTGCTGTTAAAGAGCTGCATATATTTACTAAATGCCCTTAAATTATTTAAATTAATATTATAAGAAGCATTAACATATATATTAAGTATAGTAAATTAAAATAATAATAATGTAGTTTACTATTAAGTGGCGGATATTACTAAGTAGCGGATTTTTATAGCTTTTTGCGGGGAATGCGGGGAAAAGGTACTTAAAGAGCTATTAAGAAATGCTAATAAATTTAAGCTATTTACTATTAAATTTTAAGTATAATTATCTTTATAAAACATTTAATTTTAACTTAAAATATAATATATATTTTAAAATATATAATAAGGTATATATAATAAAATTTATATACTTTTTAAGTTATTATTAAGTAAAGTACATAGGTTAATTTCGCTTATTTTTTTTGCTTTATTATAGCTATACCTTAAATCCCAGTTTTTAATTTAATTTAAAATAGCTACAACCTTATAACCCTAACCCTAAAACTATATAAAAATCTTATTTAAAAGAGGTGCTATTTAATGATATAATTCTTATTTTAATATTTAAATTTAATTAAAGTATAATTAATATTTAAACTTAGCTAAGTTATAAAAAATCCGCCACTTGGTAATATCCGCTACTTGGTGGTAAACTACGTTATTTATTTTAAAAATTATAAAGCATAATTTAATATATGCTAAATATATTAAAGCACCCCCTTTATAACATTTAAATAATAAATTACAAGCTTTACATTAAATATTAATAGCATTATATATAAAAATATAAGATTAAGTTTTATTTTAATAATAAGAAGATTAATAAATTTAATAAATAATTAATATATTATTGCATTTATTATAATATTATTAAGTTTTTCTTATTTTAAAAATAAATTTAAATTTATAAAAGTTTATCTTTAATTATAATTAAATATATTAAAGCATTTTAAAATTTATTAAGCATATTCCTTTTAAAAATATAAATCTTATTATTAATTAATATAATTTCCAATTTAAGTAAGTATTTATAAAGATTAAGATCCTTGCACTTAAAATATTATATAAGCTTAATATAAAACTTATTAACTTAAAAGAAACTCTTAATAATAAGAATATTATTAATATAAATAGCAATAATAATTTAATTTTTAATAAAAACGTAAGGGTTAAATATTATTTCCATTAAATATTTAATTAATTCCTCTTTAAAAGTATTAAATTATTTATAACTTAATTATTTAAGTTTATATAAGGCATTAAAAAGTTTTGAAATAATTTATTAATTTTTAAATAATATTTAATACCCTTATAATAATTATATATAAATATTATATTTTAAATAGCTAGATAAGTATATTATTTTAATGTTAAATTGCTAAGGCCATTAGCTTATTATAGCGATGATAGCGATAATTAATCTTAAATTATTATAATGCATTATTAAGCTATAAATATCATTATAATTCACGCTATAAATTTATATATATTTATAAGTAATAAAGTTAAGCTTTATAATAAATAAGCTTATTAAAAGCGTTAAACTTTTTTATATATACTTAATAAGGATTAATAATATATTAATTTGCAATAGCAAGTATTTTAACTTATATACTAAAAACAAGCTATTTAAATAATAGGAAATAAGTTTTGCTAAACCTTTTTAAGGATAACTTAAGGAGGAGCTTTAACGTAATAAAGAGGAAAGATAGGAATAAAAGGAAACCAAAGAAAGGGAAAAGATAAATATTTTAAAAATTCTTAAAAATAAAAAAAGCTTGATTAAAGAATTAAATATATAAAAAAAGAAAAGAGTTAATTTTTTAAAAGAAAATTTAAAATAAGTATAAAAGTTAACTTTTTATAATTAATTAAAATTTAATGCAATATTATTTCTTATATAATTCCTTATATCCGCTAATATACCCCTTTTTAAATACTTTATAATAAGTATTATAAAGATTATTAAAATAAAACTTTACTATTTTTAATTAAGCCTTTAAATTTTAAAATTTACTTTATTATAATTTTAATTATTATTATTATTTTTAATCCCTTACTTACTTATTTTATTATAGCTTTTACTTTTTTATAAAAGCTTTAAATATTCTTAAAACTTACTTAATAATATATTTATTAATTATATTTTCCTAGCTATTAAAGTTTGCTTTAATAATTAGCATTAATATAATTATTAAAGATTTAAATATCTTTATAAAATAAAAAGTAAATTTATTTTTTCTTTTAATTATTATATTAAGCATAATATATTAGCTTTGCTAACTTTTACTTTTATTTTTTATAAAGCTTTTGTTTTTACTTTTGCTTTTTATAATACTTTTATTTTTAATATTTATACTTTATATTTAATTACTAAGCTAGCTTATTTATAAGCCTTTTAAATTATCTTTAAATAAACTTTATTATTATTTTAATTATTTTAAGTTAATTAATATACTTTAAGTTTTATTTATATTTATTATTAAAATAAGCAAATAAGAAAGATCCTTATATATATTAAAGTAAGCATTTTTTATTAACTTTAAAATATTTTATAATATAATACTTAAGTTAAAGGCTTATTTAATTAAAGTTTTATTAAGCTAATTTTAAGCTATTTAAAAGTTTATGCTTTATTATATATTAAATATTTAAAATTAAGTTATTAAATTAATTTATATTAAAAGTATTATTTCCTTTATGCTTTTTTTATAATTAATAATAATCTTAATATATTGCAATTTAAATAGTTATTGCTAAATAATATTTCTTTATAATAAAAGCTTACTTTTTATTTTAATTATTTTTATATTATTAATTTTAATAAGAGGAATTAATATAAGTATTTAAATGGCTTTATTAATTTTATTAAGCTTTAATTAAATAATAAATATTTAGGTAGTAATGCTAGTAATAGCTTTAAGTATTTTAAAGTATATAATTTTAATTAAAAAAGCCTTAGCTTAATTTTATACTTTTTAATTATTCTTTTTTTAATTCTTTTTAAAATAATTTTTAATAAACTTAGT